GCACACACGTGCGGAGTTCACACAGTCACGTGCATGCCCTGTACACACACACACACACACACACACACGTGTCACAGCCACAGCACGCACTGGTGCAGCCATGGCCTCCCTCACAGGAAGATCCTCACCCACCTGACACGCTCACAGGCAAGCCTTCCTTTGCTCTTCATCAGCCCCTGCAGCCCCTCTTACCTGCCTCACTCCCTCACCCTCTCCACTGTCCTGCCTCCGCCAGGTGGATGAGCAGCTGCACCGGCTGCAGTTCGAGAGGGCAGACCTCCTGAGGCGCATGGACGAGGACCAGGATGACCTGAATGACCTCATGCAGAAGCACAAGGACCTCATTGCTCAGGCAATGGCCTCAGCTGGGAGAGGGCTCGGGAGCCGTCGGCGGGGGTAGTGGGGGGAGCGGGAAGGCGGCATGGTTGGGCCACTCTGTGGTCTTCAGGCCTTGGAGGGACCGATGCCATGAAGATAAGTAGGAATCGTGAATCACACTTGTTTTTGTTCAAATTATTTTTGTTTTAGTTACAAAAGCAGCAGATTCATATGCTCATTGTAAATAATTTAAATAATAAATACATGTGGATGATAGAAAGTGAGGGCTCTCCTGCCCTCTGGAATCCTGCTCTTTGGAGATGGTTGTGTTCAACAGTCCAGTTCAGCTCTTTCTAAAGACCTTTACTCTCTGTTGCCTCAGTTACTCTCTGGACAAACCCTGTGTATAGGGTCTGAGCAGAGACCATTAACCCATTTTACAGATGAGGATACTGAGGTACAGAGAGTTTCTGTGGCTTGCCAAGGCTGGTATCCAGGTCTAGGCTCCCAGTTACCTGACACTCAGAATAGTCCTCTTCCCTCAGAATTCTGGTCCCAGTGCTTTAGCCAGCTCATTCTGCCTGGGCTCTCCAGGGTGGAGAACGAAGCATGGGACAGGTGGCCAAAGCTGTGGGCTTATGTAATGGGAGGGACTCAGCGACCACTGGGATGAGGGATATTGGGGAGGATGAGAGGTACCCTTTTGGAACCAACTGTTGTCACAGGCGATGTGAGATATGCAGGCATCTGTCAGAGGGGAAGATGGGTTTTCCAGGGGTCGTTTCCCAGCAGAGCCTGTGGTCTCAAGGTGACATTTTTTTGTCTCACCAGTCTGCTGCTGACATCGGGCAGATCCAAGAGCTGCAGCTGCAGCTGGAGGAAGCCAAGAAGGAGAAGCACAAGCTTCAGGAGCAAGTACGTGCTCAGAGCTGCCATGTTGTCACGGGGGATCTTGGAAATTGTCATTCGTTTATTCATTCGTTCATTCATTTATTTACTCAACTTCAGCTGCATGACAGATGAATCGAGAATAATCCCAGCAGACAGACGCACCCTATCCCCCCCCAACAGATTCCTGCCCATGCTTCTTGTCAGCATCCAGAGACCACAGCGAGACTCAGCACGCATTCAGTGCAGGATTTCCTCCCCCTGAGGGATGGCTCCAAGGAAAAGGGGATGGTCTGTGCAAGACAGGATCATCATCCCTTGTGAAATCTTCTTTTGATGTCGTGGTTCCTTCAAACACCCCTGAATTTCCCTCTCTACCTAGCAGGTTGCTATTATCCATGAAATTCTCAGAGCTCTTCTAGAAGCACTGCACGTGCCCACTTGGAGTGGCTGTCAGTGACTGAGTCTTCCGCAGATACGCGTGGGCGCGGGCACGGGCACAAGCACAGCAGGGCTCGCAGCAGCAGGAGGGGCCGTTGGCTGGGTGCTTGCGCTGTACCAGACGCTCATCTCCGCGACCAGAAAACCAAGAAATGAGACTGAAGGAAGGGCACTGACTTCCCCAGACTCGTCAGCTAGAAAGTGGGGAGCCAGGCTTGGAACCCTGATACATGCGCTTGGCTCCCAAACCCACTCTTGGTGTGTCCTCTGATGCTCAGTCTTGCTGCCCACAGACAGGCGTTGGTCCTGCAGCAGGGCCGGGAGAGGAGGTGGGAGCAGCACCGATTGCAAGGCCGGTTTTGGATGCTGAAGGCACAGGAAATGTCGCCTTCCAGCACCTGAGACCCAGGGCCACGGTCTGGTGTGAGGGTCCTCAGATTGGAATGGGCAGTTCTGGTGTGTGCAGTCAGTGTGTCTCACCCAAGCAGAGCTGAGAAGGAGCGGTGTGGATGGGCCTGGGGCTGTCTCACTGGGACCCCCAATTCCAGGACTCAGGGCCAGCAGGTGGTCAATGGACCTCTTGGGTTTGCCCACAGCTGCAGGTGGCTCAGATGCGCATCGAGTACCTGGAGCGGTCCACCGTGGATCGAGCCATCGTCAGCAGGCAGGAGGCGGTCATCTGTGACCTGGAGAACAAGACGGAGTTCCAGAAAGTGCAGATCAAGAGATTTGAGGTACTTGTTGACGTGTGGACACTGCTCAGACCCAGAGCTTTGAAGGCTTCTGTGTAAGCCTTGTCCATCCTCCCGCCGTCCACCTGTCTACTCATGTGCCTTGGTCTGGATCGATGTTACTCATCCAGCTCCCCTCCCAGGTCCCTCCCTCCCTCCTTTCTTCAGTCACCCTGTCCCACAAACTGCCCATCCACTCAGACTACTCACATCCTCTCTGTTTCCATGTACCACCATTGATCCATCTGCCATCCTCCCTTCTCATGTGTTCTTCCTTCCTCTCTTCATTCTCTTCCTTTATTCTTTTTTTCCCTTCAGACTTTGACCTCTCTGTCTGTCCACCTTGTTATCCATGGATTCAGCTCTGCCCGTTTCCATCCACCACTCACTCATTCACTCATCCACCTGACACTCATTTTGAGCAGAAATGGATTTTGTACTTAGTATGTGTTAGGCTGTTTTAGGTGTGTGGAAGACAGATATATTAATCAGACTGCTTTACAGAAGCACAGAGCTTTCTCTATAGGATATGTGGGTACAGTATGTACATAAACACCCATAATCTGGAGGGAGGGCTGTGAAGTTTGGAGGACAGAGGTCCTTTCAGGCTGGGGAATCAGGGAGGCTTCCAGGAGGAGGTGGCATTGCTGCTGACCCTTGAAGGATAGGTAAGACTTGGGTGGGCTGGGGTGGATTTCTGGGATTATATCCCCGTTTAGCTCTGTACTCCAGTGACACGAGATGTTACAGAGGAAACACCATCGTCTTCACCTCCCACCTCAGCCGCTCCTCTTGCTGTTTACCACAGTCCCCTGGGGCAGGTAGGAGAGAGTGAGAAGATGCCCCCTGAGAGGTCAAGTGACTTACTCAGGAGAAAGCGGGGTCACATCAGTGACAGGAGGAGATTGACTCTTTTTTTTAACATTTTTTATTGATTTATAATCATTTTACAATGTTGTGTCAAATTCCAGTGTTCAGCACAATTTTTCTGTCATTCATGGACATATACACACTCATTGTCATATTTTTTTCTCTGTGATTTATCATAACATTTTGTGTATATTTCCCTGTGCTATATAGTGTAATCTTGTTTATCTATTCTACAATTTTGAAATCCCAGTCTATCCCTTCCCACCCTCTACCCGCCTGGTAACCACAAGTCTGTATTCTCTGTCCATGAGTCTTTAGATTCCACATATGAGCGAA